TGCTGCGGGTGTGTACAGCGCGCTGCGACAATGGCTTCTCAGGTAAAGGGCTGTATTCTGGGAAGTTGCACAAAAGACATAAAACGAATGTTTTTAATATCTGGTAGCCATCTGAAGGGTTTTCAAGGCTCTTTTCTCCCTTTTCTTTTATGCCGGTAAATGTTTAGATGCTTAACCTTCTGTACAAAATCTCTGCTACAGTCTCGGGAAGGAGAGCAATGCACATCTTCTATCGCTGGATTATTGTGTCTTGAATGTTTTATTGTTTTTGTATATTTCTATTGCAATATTGTACTTAGACCTTTGAGTCTATTAAAGCATAATGGCAATTAAATATAGCTCGCATTTAACTGACCACATACAGTAACCCCAAATGCCATTTCTGGAAAAAAAAACTGAAAAGCATTTGCTCTTTATGCGGTTCTCCGACAGTCTTCGGCTTCTTTCACAAGGGTGCTCCCTCTCCTCAGTCTGCAACTGTCTTTTGGGTTGGGTGGGGGGGGAGGGATAGTACCATTTTTATCAATACCTGCTCCCACTTCTGTAATCCTTGCCTAGGCACAGATCTCTTGCCCTGCCCCCTCCCATCCCGAAACCTACTAGAACTTGTCACATGTCCCAGGAGGCTGCAAGACCATTCACAAAGTGCTGCATGAGCTCACAAATGTGCAGTGGGGAGGCAGCAGTGGTTCCTCAGGAAAGTCGCAGCTGCCTTTAGCATCCCGGTGTAGGCAGTCCCATTCATGTCAGTTGGGACACAGCCACTGCTCCCAATTTGGCATCAAATTGGGAGTAGTTGCTGTGTCCATGCAGCTGCTGCATCCCAATTGACATGAATGGACTGCCTGCTTGAGGATGCATGGAACACCTGTACATCCTATGCAGCCAAACACAGCCCTCACATGGGTGTACACATAAAGCGGAGTTCCACCCAAAAGAGGAAGTTCCGCTTTATGCCTTTGTCCCCCGCTCCCCATTAAGGATTGGCACCTTTGGGGAGCGGGCACCCGAATTTTACAGGTACCTGCTCCCACTTCCGCTGCGATCACCTAGGCCAGGGGTAGGCAACCTGCGGCTCTCCAGCTGTTGCAGGACTACAAGTTCCATCATGCCTCTGCAAGTCATAGCTGTAACTGTCAGTTTTGTAATGTTGCAATGCCTCATGGGAAATGTAGCTCCACAACAGCTAGAGAGCCGTAGGTTGCCTACCCCTGGCCTAGGCGACCGAATGTGGAAGTTGCCCTCCCCCTCATCTTCTGGGACACATGACAGGTCCCAGAAGACTACAGGACTATTCACAAAGCGCAGCGCTTCTCACGCATGCGCAGTGGGAACCCGGCTGTGAAGCTGCAAGCTGTCACAGCCTGGTGCCCACACTGAAGATGCCGGCACCAGGGAGAGAAGACGGCCGGTGAAACCAGACGTGGTGAGGACACCACTGGACCAAGGGACAGGCAAGTATTTTAAAAGTCAGTCGCTACAGTTTTTGTAGCGGCTGACTTTTTTTTTTTTCAGGTGAAACTCCGCTTTAAATATTCCCATGTGAATGAGGCCTTAGCGCTGGTTTATAGGTGTACAGGAGGAGATACCACTGCCTCCAAAACACCTTTTTTTCAATCCAAATATGCTTTTACATTGAAATATGGCGCTGCAGCCTCCATAGTTGTGTCCAGCACGTGGTCCAATTGACTTTATTGGGCGCATCTGACAGGAGTAATGCCTGCTAAACATGACTGGGCAAGTTAAAGGATAAGTTCATCTTTTGAAAACAAAAATAATATATGCAGGTAAAAAAATGTGCATTTATTGTTTTGGGGTTTTTTTTTCAGGTGCCTGCAGAGCATTGCATTGCATATAATCGCAGGCTTCTGCAGACTCTCAGGTTAGCTGTCTGCCTGTTCCTCCAATACGGGCGTGCAGTTACTTGAGAGCAGGAAGATCAATGAACTAGGAGAGTGCTCACCAGTGCCCTCTTAGTTCATTGAGAACTACAAGCCGTCAGCTTCAGTGACTGATGGTACTTGCAGTCTATACATTCACAGGAAATTGTGAATGCGTGATGCAGGCGTGTGGATGGAGCCCCACAGCTGTGCTTTTTTTAAATTGTGACAGCGGGTGTGGGGAGAAGATCCCTGTCACAGAAAGTGGGGGATTGGGGTGCAGGAAAATGTTACATATTCCACCCTTAAAATTGGTTGAACACGTACATTTTCCAATGGTGAACTTATCCTTTAAGGGCTCGTGTACACTGCAGCTGATAAACTGACGTTTAGGAGCTGTTGAGCGTTTTTTTTTCAGCAACCCCTGAACTCTCCCTAATGTTTTCCTATGTGTCCGTGTACACATTGTTGTTTACAGGCAGTTGAGGTTACAGGCATTTTCTTGAAAGCCCAAAATCGCATTCAGGAGTAGAGTTTACTGGCATTTCAAACACGTGTAAACGCAGTTAAACAGTTAAAAATGCATGCACAGTGTTTTCCATGTATTTAATGGACCCGGCACACCAGCGTAGTCAGTTCCAGGTTTCGCGTGAGGGAAAAAATAGTAGAACACGCCGCATTATGCTCATGATGGGATCCATAGTGACTACAACCAGAAAAGACAAGTCATCTCAACACATACTGCTCTCTCTGCTTCTGCTCTCTCTATTCCTCTCAAAATGTCTGAAATAGTTAATTATTTACTGTTTTTCAGTGTATTCTGGGCATTTGGGAGGGTCTCCTGAGGTTATCTTTTAAAATGCTTTTAAACGCACAGTGGCTAAATGGTTAGCACTTCCGCCTGGCAGTACTAGGGTCGTTGGTTCGAATCCCAGCCATGGCACCTTCTGCCTGGAGTTTGCATGTTCTCCCTGTGCCTGCGTGGGTTTCCTTCGGGTACTCCGGTTTCCTCCCACACTCCAAAGACATGCTGGTAGGTGAATTGTTGGCTCCTGTCTAAATTGTCCCTAGTATGTGTATGTATGGATGTGAGTTAGGGACCTTAGATTGTACGCCTCTTGAGGGTTAGGGACTGATGTGAATGTACAATATATATGTAAAGTGCTGCGTAAATTGACGGCACTATATAAGTACCTGAAATAAATAAATAAATGCAAACGCGTATAAACGTGCAATGTAAACGCAGATAAGCTGATGTTTTTTAACCTATGTTTTCTAGCAGTCAGTTTCCAGTGGTCAGAAGAGTTTTCTCCACGCGCCGAGTACATGAGCCCTAAATACACCGTGTTCCAAATTATTATGCAAATGATATTTTTCTCATTTACCTAAATAATTGATGTAAATAACAGTCGGCATAATTCTCATGTTATCAACTATAAGAGTACAATTCAGATTTTATTGAACAAACCTCCTAATGATAACAGTATTTTTTTAAACATAAAACACTTACAATGCAGTTCCAAATTATTCCGCACAGTAAGTTTCAAAACACTTTATAGGTTGTAAAGAACTGAAAATTATAATTTGTTGTGTTTGCAGCATATTTACTGTTTTCAGTGATCAAAAGAGCCCTGACACACAATGCCATCCATGAGTTAAACTGAAAAACAAAATATTTAATCTTTGTGACACCTATATAGAATTTGCATAATAATTAGGAACAGGTTGTATAGCTTGCAAAAAGCAACATGATAAACTGCTTATTTCGGAAGTAAGGTAAACAACAGATTTGGGTGTCATAACTATTATTTTACTGGGGCTTTCTCCTAGTATGCACTACCTGTGATATGGTGACAACGCAATGTCCTTGTCTACCAATTGTGCTTCTGTGTTGTCACATGGGCCTTTGATCTAGGCTACAACACACATTACACATACGTGGTCCACTGTTGTCACCATCAGGAAACCCGCCCTGAGAAATACCATGCAGCTATCACTTGAGTGCATGTAGGCAGGAAATGTCTGAAAAGAGGCAGCAGGAGATAAGCAGTACCAAGATTTAACAAAGGATAGAAACTGGGATTTTATTACAGTAAGTGACAGCTGTTTGGTGATACACAATACACAAAGTAAACAAAATGTCATTGCGTTAGGCCTTGTCCTTACACATGGAATCAGTGCGCCATTCATACTCCACTGAACGATAAAATCTTGTTCTTAAACCAGAAATTCCTCTTAGACTAAATGTAGAAATGTACCATTAGCGGACCGGCTGCTTTGTTCAGCTACCTTTATGTCGGCTGCCGTAATGGCTCCCCAGTCCTCAGTTAACATTAGCAGCCGTCATTAAAATGCCTCTAATTTCCGAATGCCGCCTTCAGGTTAGTGTCACCCAGGTGGATTACTTGACAACGGATGGGGTTAAAATCCCGGCGCAGAGTCTTAAAAATAAATAAGGCTGTTTTTATGTTAATGTGAGCGCCTATCACTAAGAAACACAGTGCCGGATTTCCCCTCCCGTACAGATGAGAATTAAATCAGCTTTTTTCTTTTATTACCAAAGTTTAGCGTCTTCAGTTTTGAAATTTAAATGTTCCGTAGTAGAAGACAAGCTGTACCATAATTACCCAACTGCCAGCAATAATTTCATCTAAAGAGCTTTCATTTTGGAGGTTTTAATGTGTGCGGGAACAAACACATTGCGCCGAGCATTATGTATATGGACGTGAGGCCCCAACAGTCAGCAAAAGATCTCATTTTGGAGATTTCTGCAGAAAAGTCTCTGCAACACTGAAAAGAAATAAATGGTGGATGGTGAGACTAGACGTGACAGAGTAGTAAGGGTACAAAGGTTACCCAATGTCAGAACTGTGACCCCTATCATCCATAGCAGTTGAGGTTCACTTCAAGTTTTAAAGTGTTAGTTCACCTTAACAGAAAAATAAAAAGGTGAACTAACACCGTACATCCTCTCCACCCCCCAGGTCCCCAATGTACTTACCTCTGGGGATTCCAATGTGTCAGTTACCCCGCAGCCGATCCAGGGGTCCATCACTACTGCAACTCCCTCCTCATCGCCTTACTTTTACATAGGCTATCCCCCCTCCAGTCCATCAGGAATACTGCTGCAAGGCTCATCCACCTTACCAACCATTCAGTGTCTGCTACCCCTCTCTGCCAATCCCTCCACTGGCCTCCATTCAGTGTCCTCCACCCCTCTCTGCCAATCCCTCCACTGGCCTCCATTCAGTGTCCTCCACCCCTCTCTGCCAATCCCTCCATTGGCCTCTACTCAGTGTCCTCCACCCCTCTCTGCCAATCCCTCCACTGGCTTCTTCTCAGTGTCCTCCACCCCTCTCTGCCAATCCCTCCACTGGCTTCCACTCAGTGTCCTCCACTGGCCTCCCTCTCTCTGCCAATCCACCCTCTACTGGCCTCCACTCACTCAGTGTCCTCCACCCCTCTCTGCCAATCCTTCCACTGGCCTCCACTCAGTGTCCTCCACCCCTCTCTGCCAATCCCTCCACTGGCCTCCACTCAGTGTCCTCCACCCCCCTCTCTGCCAATCCCTCCACTGACCTCCACTCAGTGTCCTCCACCCCTCTCTGCCAATCCCTCCACTGTTTTCCACTCGCTAAACGAATAAATTTCAAAATACTAACAACAACTTACAAAGCCATCCCACAACTCTGCCCCCAGCTACATCACCAACCTGGTCTCAAAATATCAACCAAACTGCTCTCTTCGATCTTCCCAAGACCTTCTGCTCTCTAGTTCCCATGCCACCTCCTCCCATGCTCGCCTCCAGGACTTCTCCCATCCTGTGGAATTCTCTACCCCAATCTGTCCGGCTGTCTCCTAACCTATCCACCTTTAGACGATCCCTGAAAACCTTTCTCTTTAAAGAAGTCTATCCTGCTTCTACCTAGTAAACCGCCATTTATTTCCTCCATCAGCTCATCCCCCCAAAGCTATTAACTTTTGTATCACTCAATCCTTCCTCCTAGATTGTAAGCTCTCAGGATCAGGGCCCTCTGTTTCCTCTCGTACCAAATTGTATTGTAACTGTAATGTCTGCCTTCATTTTGTAAAGTGCTGCGCAACCTGTTGGTGCTATAAATCCTGTATAATAATAATAATAATAATAATCACAGAAGCACTGCACATAGAAGAGGAAGAAGAGCGGGGATTTCAAATTTCTTGACCCTTAGACCAATTGCATGGGCACTGACAGCTCAGCATCCGTGGAGGTAAGTACAGCGGGGACTGGGGGGAAGGGGGTTGGGTGTGAGGTTTTAATTCATCTATTAATTTTTTCTGTAAAGGTGAATGAACTCGTTAAAGCAGTATTAATACTTTCAAGCAGTATTTATTACATCGCAGCTTACCAATTCTTAGATGTGATGGCTACATTAGTTTTTTTTTTTTAGGCCTTTGTCGTTCTATTTTCACTTGGCGATCCAACCAGCAAGTCTGCTGTTTTTCAAAAATACAAGCTCTCCAGCAGAATGTATCAGTTAGAGAGATGAGACAAATCGTTTAACACTGGGCAGGGGTGCTTAAAATGATCTGCTTTTATTTATTCACGTAAAACCTTTATCCCAAAAGGAAGAAAACTGTTTCTGTAACTGATTATAACTCATGAACTGGAGTTTGGCAATATATTACATTTTTGGTTTTGGGTTTAATACTGCTTTAACTGTCCTAAAATGTTCATGAGATCTGTTCAGGACCATTTCTAAAATGCTATCATGGTGTGAACTAAGGACTATCAGCAGAATCCCAGAAGTTGGGCAATTTAACTTGCTGAGTGCCAGAGCCGTGTTTGTGTTGTGCACATGTTTAAAAATTAATTTTAAGTCTGAATATAAATTAAAACCCCCCCCCCCCCCCCCCCAACAATCTATATTTTCTCAAAGCAGAGACCCTGGAAAATAAAAAAGTAGTAGTTCCAATTTTTTATGTTGGTACAATGTTTTATCAAGCTCAAAATTACAGCAAAAAAAAAAGTTATTTTTAGGGCACGCAAATGTAATATATTTCCTAATTTGTTAGTAAAATATAAATGAAAGTTGTTGACAAATTTTGCCACCCCAAACTTTCCATAGGCAAAGCTTTAAAAAAATGTTAATAAAATAAATAATTATGATAGAAAAAATTAAAGCCTGTCCCCTTGTGCATACACACAAATGCAAATGCGCACTTAGTTCCGCACTTATATGTAAATGGTGAGGTATTGTCGCGAATATTGAAATGAGAGCAATCATTTTAGAGCTATACTTCACGATTGACTCTAAATCGATTACCTGTACAGGCTTGCAAAACATCACCTGTGGACAATTTTAGGTACTGCAGTTAGTCTGGCTAAAAAAAAAAAAAGACAAAAGTCCATCCAGTTCGACCACTAAAAAAAAAATTATAATTCTATACCCATAGTTGATTCAGAGGAAGGCAAAAAAATTCCAGCAAAGCATGAACCAATCTGCTCCTGCAGGGAAACAAAATCCTTCCTGATCCCCGAGAGGCAATCGGATATTCCCTGGATCAACTTTACCTATAAATGTTATATCCAGTTATATTCTGTGTATCCAAGAAAGAATCCAGGACTTTTTTAAAGCAATCCACTGAGCTGGCCAGAACCAACTCTTGAGGGAGTCTATTCCACATTTTCACAGCTCTTACTGTGAAGAAACCTTTCTGTGTTTGGAGATTACATTTCTTTTCCTCCAGACATAAATAGTGCCCCTTTGTCCTCTGTGATGGCTTTAGGTACTGTAGTTTGTTGCCATTTCACAGGCATGTGCAATTTTAGAACTTGACATGTTTGGTATCTATTCACTCGGTGTAATATCATCTTTTATATGTGTGTGTATGTATGTATGTACAAATATATATATATATATATATATATATATATATTATATATTGTGTGTGTGTGTGTATATACACAGTATATGTGTATGTATGTATGTACAGTATATATATATTATATATATTTATATATTGTGTGTGTGTATATATATATATATATATATATATATATATATACACACAGTATATATGTGTGTGTGTGTGTGTGTGTTTTTCTGTGAGATTTTTGTGTTTGATAAATTACTTCAAAAACAACATTAAAAAATAGCAACAGCCACAATTTTATTCTCTAGGGCCTCTGCTTTCAGAAAATATATAATGTCTGGGGGTTGTAAGTAATTTTCTAGCAAAAAAAAAAAAAGGAGATTTTACGGTTTTACGATATATGTGAAAAATTCTAAAATTGCTCTGGGCAGCAATTAAAGTCAAACTGTTGCAGATGGAAAGTAGGTTCACTTTCAAGTCCCACCTGTAAAGAGAACTTGTTAGTTTGCCCACTGTGTACCAAGTACAGGTTCACTTTTAAAAAATGTATTTATTCATTGTAAGGCTCTGTAAAGTTTGGTTACAGCAGGCTGCATATGTATAGCAATCGTTAGGCGTGTGTTATGTATTATTTGTGGAAGGATAACGCTCCGGCGAGATGTGCAAATTGCAGTTTTCCATTTCTCTTTTTCAACGTTTGTTCCTGAGAAGCCAAAATGATGATGCAGCTGAATGTATAAAGCGCTGGCAGCTGCTTGTCAGAGTTTTGCTGCCTCTGTAGAACTTTCTTTCCTGCAGAATCACTCTCTCAGTAGATTGGGCACTGAAGTGTACAGAACATGTGAGCCTGGCCTCCCAGCGAGACCCATTACGGGAGCAGCAGATCAGTTCTGTCTAGGTGTGCATAGAAAAACGATCTCAGGTCAGGGCTTCAGCCAAAAAACTAAATCTGTCAGAAAGTTGGGAGTGTAGCAGCACGTTGTAGAACTTTTGCAGAGCTAGAAAGCCAAACTGAAAAAGTTTAAGGGTTTACGCCACTCCAAAGGTGTTTTTCAGACAACCGTGGAAAGGAAAAGTAGAGTTTCTGCGGATGACAGTCTTGTGGATGTTGTGGGATGTATTTTGGAACAAAACAATGGCCTTTCAAGTCTGTCTGCGCTAAGTAGGTTTTTCAGTACCAAGACGGCCTCCTCTTTCATTACAGAGACGGGCACAGCAAGGTAAGAACTTCACCAAGCCCTGAGAACTAGCAGGAATGGCATTTCAGTTGTTGCAGAGTAATTAAGAACTGCCAGTCATTTCTGCTTGTCTTTAGTGTTACTATGGGGAGAGAGGAGGATGTAACATGGGGAGAGAGGAGAATGTAACGTGGGTAGAGAGGAGGATATAACTACAGGGGAGAGAGGAGGATGTAACTGTGGGGTGAGAGGAGGATGTAACTGTGGGGTGAGAGGAGGATGTAACTACAGGGAAGGGAGGAGGATGTAATTACAGGGAGAGAGAGGAGAATGTAATTGCAGGGAGAGAGAAGAGGATGCAACTACAGGGGAGAAGAGGACATAACTACAGGTGAGAAGAGGAGGATATAACTACAGGGGGAGAGAGGAGGATGTAACTACAGGGGGTGAGAGGAGGATGTAACTACAGGGAAGAGAGGAGGATGCAACTACAGGGAGAGAGGAGGATGTAGCTATGGAGGGAGAGGAGGAAGTAACTGCGGAGAGAGAGAGGAGGATGTAACATGGGAAGAGAGAGAGGAGGATGTAACATGGGAAGAGAGAGAGGAGGATGTAACTACAGGGAAGGGAGGAGGATGTAATTACAGGGAGAGAGAGGACAATGTAATTACAGGGAGAGAGAGGAGGATGCAACTACAGAGAGAGAGAGGATGATGCAACTACAGAGAGGAGGATGTAAACTACGTAGAGAGAGGAGGAAGTAACTGTGGAGAGAGAGAGGAGAATGTAACTGTGGGGAGAAAGCAGGATGGAACTGTGGGGAGAGAGGAGGATATAACTACAGGGAAAAGAGGAGGATGTAACTACAGGGAGAGAGGAGGATGTAACTACAGGGAAGAGAGGAGGATGTAACTACAGGGAGAGAGAGGAGGAAGTAACTGTGGAGAGAGAGTGGAGAATGTAACTGTGGGGAGAAAGCAGGATGTAACTGTGGGGAGAGAGAGGATATAACTGTGGGGAGAGAGGAGGATATAACTACAGGGAAAAGAGGAGGAGTAACTACAGGGAAAAGAGGAGGATGTAATACAGGAAGAGAGGGATGTAACTGTTGGGGAGGAGGATAATACAGGGAAGAGAGGAGGATGTAACTACAGGAAGAGAGGAGGATGTAACTACAGGGAAGAGAGGAGGATGTAAACTACTTCTTCCCATTATTCACATCTTGTTTCAGTGATTTTATAACCAGTATTCTGAGGTACCCAGAAAAGATCATTTTAAGGTTTACTGACAAAAAGGAAATTATGAACCTTTAAAAAAATAGCAGCCCAAGCAATGAACAGGATCAGTTTTGTGGTATGTGACAGCCTTCCCCGGTTTTGTTGGAAAACCATGCTATTCTCCCTAAAAGATCCTTATCACTACAAAATTAGGACAATCATGTCCTCAATCTTACCAGAACAGTCCTTATCAAATCAGGGCATCATGTCCTCAAATCATACCAGAACAGTCCTTATCACTTCGTAATCAGGGCACTCATGTCCTCAAATCATACCAGAACAGTCCTTATCACTCCATAATCAGGACACTCATGTCCTCAAGTCACCCAGAACTCTTCTTGTAACTACATAAACCCAGGATAAATATGGAAATAGTTGGATCAATGTGAATGAATGAGAACGGGTGGGGATGTTTAAGTGCTCGTTACCCTAACAGATACAAAGATACAAATATGTAACAATCACCCCAGAACTGTCATTATAACTAAATAAACCCAGGCCAATCTCATCCTGGAGTCACTCCAGAACAGTCCTTAAAATTACATAGCCAGCACAATCATGTCCACGCTTCGCCCCAGAATAGTACATAACCAGGGCACTCAAGTCACCCCAGAAATGTCCTTAACACTACATACCCAGGGAAACCATGTCCTTGCGTCACCCCAGAACAGTCTTTTTCCAATTCAGCT